ATGGTGCCAACTTGGGCCAGTGAAGCAACATCCTCCACAACTAGATTGAAGAACAAGACGACAGCAACTTGTCTGTTTCCCTTCCCCCAATTCCCCAGCACTGTTCCCATTCCCCCAATTCCCCCAATAAAAAATAAAAAAAAAAAAGAGTGCGCGCTCTATCCACTGAGCCATCTGGACGGCAGCTCAGCTCAAGGTGCCAAGTTAAGTCTTAGTTGCAGGTGGGCATAGCCCACCATCCAACAAGCAATCTTGTTATACCAGCTGAGCCATCCTGCTACCTGTTGGCAGTTCAGCTCAGGTGCAGCGTCACTGGCCCAAGTGGGAATCAAACCAGCGGCCCTGTTGCTCAGAGCTCACACTCTTAAGCCAACTCTTAACCAACTGAGCCACTCGGCCATCCCAACCTATGGGAAGAATTTGAAGCAAAACGTGGGGGAGGTAACACTGAGGTCAGGGACACTCACCGCTTTTTCTTCTGGACATACATCACCTGTAACAGAGACAGAGTACTGGGGAGGCTGGGAGCCCAGGACGGCCCACCCACCTCCACACCCGCTGGTCCCATAACAGCAGGACAGCTGAGACCAGGCCCACCCAGCAGTACTTAGCAAAGGCGTGGGTGTATATGTGTGAATGGGGGCGCTCCTTACCACAGCCACCACCACCCCGACCAGGGTGATGAGGAAGAAAGGCCCCAACACATAGCCCACCATGGAGTCGCTGTTGGCCTGGGGGGCATTGGGCACTGTGGTGTTACTCATGACATCGGCAGCCGGAGAGCTGGGTAGTCAGCATGGGCAGTAGTGCCTCGGGAGGGTGCCTCCACTGGGCTCCCTGGGGAGGAGGAAGGGAGGTTGTTAATTTCACCCAGGATGACATCAAGGCTCCGGATCCTCCCTGAGCTGGTGTGTGAAAACTTAGGTCAGGCACTAGGATGAAGGATCCTCCAGGGAGGTCAACGTGCGGGGTGTAACTCTCCAACAACTCTCAGCAGACCCTGGTGTAAAGGGTATTAGGAGAGGCCCAGACCCAGGGCCTGAATCCTGCCCAGCTCCTATCCCCAAATCAGGGTGGGGCCCAGCTCAGGGTACCGGCCAAAAATTTGCTGATTTCAACTCCTGGGGAAAGGTTAGATATTGGTTCCCAGCTCCAGCCTTAACCTCCTGGGGCACTGGACTGCCAGCACCTATCCAGTGAAGCAAAATGGGGGAGATCTTGTAAAAATAGGAAGGTCCTGCACTGTGGCCTAAGTGGTGAAGTAGGAGCGTTTGAACAAGCCTGCCTCAGTCCTGGTCCAGTCCCCACACTTCAGGCTATATGCCCTATGCCCTCCTTGTCCCGGGTGTCATTCTAGACATATAGCCTAGACACCCTTTCCTCCATTTGTCTCCTGCCAGGGTGGACACAAGTGGGCAGGACTGGACTTTCTGCGAGGTGATGTCACCTCCTTCTGGTCTCCACCCAGGACTCCGCCCAGGTCCCTCCCCTCGTGGCCTGGGCTGAGAAGTGGAGGAGAGGGTCAGCTCCCATCGACAGGTGCAAGGAACTCCATAGGCGGCTGCACAGATGCCCCAAGGTCCCTGTACCCAGTTTGCCTGGGTCTCCACATAAGCTACCTGTCCCGGGGTCACCGGGCTTGCCCAATCGCACGCACACCGTCCCATGGTGGAGGTTACATGTCGAGGTGGGGAGGGTGTCAGGCCTCTCCTAGGATGCGGACCAGCAACGGCGAGCGGGAGGTTGGTCCCACGGCTCTGGGAGGCTCAGGCTGGGGAGGGGGGTTTGGGGGTGACGCCAAGGGGCCCGGGCATCCTGGAACCCCGGCACCCCAAGGCGTGGACCTGTGCCAGCGCCCTGCAGCCTATCCAACCCGGTCATGCCTTACCTCCCGCCGCTGCAGCCCGGACAGGAACGCCCTCGGTTGGCTCCCTGGCCCCGGAAGAGCCAGGAGGCGCGTGATCAAAGGACCCGGGAAAGTGGGCGGAGCGTCAGCTCTCGGACTCAGCCAATCCGGTGGCAGAAGGCGGGCGACCTGGAGACTTCTGGGGCGGCCAATCCGGAGGCGAGGAGTGGGCGGTGCTAAGGCGGGGACTGCCCAGGTTGCAGGGTCCATCCAGCGGCGGCAGGGGGCAGCCGAGGGTTGCGCAGCGGGGGGAGGAGAGCTTACGGGGAAGGGGCGGAGCGTGCGGTTTCCCGGCGTGCTCCGGGGCGGGTCCCCGCTAATCGCTTGCGTCTGAGGCTCAGATTTCGGGGCGAGACCTGGCCTTCTACCCGCTGCCCCTCTGGTTGGAGCCCAGCTACAGGGCCAAGCCACCCTCTAACGTTTAGCTCAGGCGTGCGGAGACTGGCGGTGCGTCCGTCACAGCAGGACTCTGCCTCAGGATGGCCTCCATTAGTATGTGCTGAGTCCTCCATGCCTCCTAGTGCAGACTGACCCTCTGGGCTATGTGCAAAGGGTAGAGAGGCTGGCTGGGTTAGCTCCTGCCTCAAGCCTTGGGCCCCCCATACTTTCTGCACTTCATTTTTTTTTTTAAAGATTTTATTGGGGAATTGGGGAAGGGGAACAGCCAGTTGTCCTTAAATCAATCTTAGTTGTGGAGGGCGCAGCTAGCTCAGCTCTAAGTCCAGTCGCTATCAGGCCACCTGTTGGCAGGTTTGGCGGTTTAGCTCAAGGTGCCATGTTCAGTCTTAGTTGCAGGTGGGCGTAGTCCACCATCCCATGCAGGCGTGGAACCAGCAACCTTGTTAAGGGCATGTGCTCTCACCAGCTGATTCATCCTGCCACCTGTTGGCAGCTCAGCTCAGGCGCAGTTCACTGGCCCATGTGGGAATCGAACTGGTGACCCTGTTGCTCAGACCTAGCGCTCTTAAGCAACTGAGCCACTCTGCTGGCCCTGCACTTCATTCTTAACATGTATAAAACACACCTCTGTGAGGATTAAACGATGACATGGGTAAGGAACCTAGCATACAGCATACCCTGGATGTTAAATTCCCCGTTGACCTGGGGGAGGGGGGTGCGCAGACGGAGCAGCAGGGTTAAGTCCCCTGGGTTACAGGTAACTTGCTAAGTAGGTAAGCCTGGGTCAAAGCTTTCGTGTTCTGGTAATTGAAATGTCACACATTTACTGGAGAAATCTAAATAAGATGGTGGATTTTACCAATGTCAGTATCCTGGTTATATTATACTGAAGTTTTGCAAAAATTATCATTGGGAGGAGCTAAGCAAAGTGTACAAGGGATCTCTATTGTTTCTTAAGCTGCAGGTGAATACAGTTACCTCAAATTGTGTGTGTGTGTAGAGTTTTGTACCAGACTCCCCCCCCCCCGCCACCCCTCGCCCCAATTCCACGCAATTGGGAAAACTCCAGAATGTACAGGTGTGGCAGTTGAACCAGACCAAGGCCCTCCTGGGTCCTCAGGTGCTACTGGAGATACAGGGATGGCCTGGGTCACCCTATTTTTTGCCAGAGGCAACCAGTGGCATGGACATGGTTAAACCACTTGGTTTGGTCTGACTTCAGTTTCCTCAGGCCCTTCCAGAGAAGGTTGGATGAGGGCAGGTCTGGTGCAGAGAAGATCCAACTAGGAACCAGAGAGCAGGTGGGAACTCTGTCCTCTTGCCTCCAGACACCACCATCGACTGGTGGGAAATCAGATATAGGGAAAGGTATGAGAGAGAAACGCCTGGGTCTGAAGGCCCCAGGTAGATTTCCTAATGTTCTCAGGCTTTTGAGTTTGAACAGTAGGCTTCTATCAGAGCTGAGGGCAAAGGGAGGAGGCCACCACCCCAGACAAGGCCTGTCTCGCCTTGCATGGAATTGGGAAGCAAGTGATGGGTTTCATTTTTTCCTGTTTTTCTACAGTATTTGTTAATTGTTTATTTGTCAAGAGAAACTATTCCTTAGCCTAAATAGTCATATTTCATAGTGTAGGAACACAGGTCAGTGACAAACTTCCATGGAATTCAACTCAAAGAAATTTTTTTAAATTCCCAAATCATTTGCACCCTGAAAGACAGCCTTCTTCATCTCAAAATCTTTCATGGAATCATAATTTCTGTAGAAATCTGTGTATGCCTTCTTTCTTATAGAAAGAAGCAAACTTATAGAAAGCTGCAACCCCTAGGAATACAGTGAATGATCCAATATGAAATTGTAGACACTTGATCTGAAGGCCATACATCTGAGGTTTTGTCAAAGCACTGGAGGCCATGGTAGTTATTTTCCTCAACACCAAGTCCTTCCTGACTCAAGTGATAGGTTTTAGAACCCAGGTCCCCTTGGTTACCCACACAACCAACCTTTGTCCCTATCCTTAGGGCTTCCAACCACATATCTTCAGGGCCTAGTGGTCACATGGACTAGGCCAGTGTGTGGAAAGGGCTGGGGTCTCAGTGGCTGGGGTCTCAGTGTCAGAGACTTAGCATGATTTTACTTCCCTCACTCCTATGACAACACCATTCTGAGCTAGGCAGTACAGGAGGGGCAACCCCAATTTAAAAATGAGTAAGTTGAGGCCCCGAGCAGTATGATGACTTCCCAAGGCCCTTGGTGTGATCTGCAAGGGTAGGGCAGAATTGGATGACAAATGGGCCCTTCTTCCTGGACAGCTTTGTGCTGGCAACTGCTTCAGGGCCGCATTTAAGACCTGGTTTGTTCCTGTGATGAAGTGGACTGTGGTAAGTTAAAGACGTAGACTATAAGCCCTAAAGCAACTAGTGGGTTGTCGGAAAAGTCATGACGCATTTTTGCAACAAAAAAACAAAAAATACGTCATGACTTTTCCGACAACCCAATAGTACAACAGAGTTATAGCTAATAAGCCAACAAAGGTGATAAAATGGAATAAAAAAAATACTCAAGTGGTTCAAAACAAAGTAGAAAAAGAGAAAAAGGGGAGCAAAGAATAGATGAGAGAACTAGAAAAAAAACAGGATGATAAATTGAAACCTAACTATATCAAAATCACATTTAAGATAAATGGTCTAAAACCAATTAAAGGCAGAGATTGTCAGAATGGATAAAAATGCAAGACCCAATTATATGCTGCCCACAAGAAATGTACTTTGAACACTCAGCAGGGATTTGGACAGATAGTTGTACACTCATGTTCACAGTAGTATTATTCACAATAGTCAAAAGGTGGAAGCTATCCAACTGCTCTTCAACAGATAAGTGGATAAACAAAATATGATATATATATATATATATATGAATACAATGGAATAATATTATTCAAGCCTATAAAGGAATGAAATTTTGACACATCTACAACATAGATGAACCTCAAAGACATTATGCTAAGTGAAACAACCAGTCACAAAAGAACAAATACTGTAAGATTTTATTTATATGAGGTATCTAGAGTAGTCAAGTTCATAGAGACAGTAGAATGGTAGTTACCAGGGTCTGGGAGGTGGGGAAGAATGAAGCGTTATTGTTTAATGGGTATGGAGTTTCAGTTTGAGAAGATGAAAAAAGTTTTGGAAATGGATGGTGGTGATGGTTGCACAACAATGTAGTTAATGCCACTGAACTGTACACTTAAAAATGGTAAAAAAATGTAAAAAATAAAAAGATCCAAATATATGCTGCTTAAAAGAGATGCACTTTAGACCTAAAGACACAAATAAGTTGAAAGCGAAAAGAAGAAAAAGATATTCCATGCAAAGTGTAACCAAAAGAGAGCTAGAGTGACTACCCTAATAACAGAAAACAGATTTTAAGCAAAAACTCATATAAGAGACAAAGGGGGACATTTTATATTGATAAAAAGGGTCAATTCATGAAGCAGCTATAACAATTATATATATGCACTCAACAAATGAGTCTCAAAAAACACTGAGAGAACTGAAGGGAGAAATAGACAGTTCTACAATAATAGTTGGAGACTTCAATACCCTACTTTCAATAATGGCTGGAATATGCTCTACAGAAGACCATTAAAGAAATAAAGCACTTGAAAAACACTATAAACCAACTGGACCCAACAGAACACTCCTCTCAACAACAATATACATGTTCTTGAGTACACATGGAACATTCTCCAAGACAAATCATACATTAGGCCACACAACACATTTTCTTTTCTAAAATTGGGAAATTGGGGGAGGGGAACAGTGTTGGGGAATTGGGGAGGGGGACCAGACAAGTTGTTCTTCAATCTCAGTTGTGGAGGGCACCAGTCACCATCTGGCTGCTCATCGGCAGTTCATGGCCTCTAAGCTCAAGGTGCCATGTTCAATCTTAGTTGCAGGTGGATGTAGCCACCATCCCATGTGGGAGTTGAACCAGCAGCCATGTTGTTAAGAGCACATGCTCTATCCACTGAGCCATCCGGGTGGCAGCTCAGCTCAAGGTGCCAAGTTCAGTCTTAGTTGCGGCCGGGTGTAGCCCACCATCCAACAGGCAGTCTTCTTGATAGAAGCACGTGCTCTCACAAGCTGAGCCATCCTGCCACTTGTTGGTAGCTCAGCTTGGGCACAGCATCACTGGCCCATGTGGGAATTGAACCAGCGGCCCTGTTGCTCAGAGCTCGCACTCTTAAGCTAACTTTTTTTT